GTACAGTTGGTATGACGTTTGCCTCATAAAGTAACTGTCCGGGTTTCAGTTCTCGGTAGCCCATAAAATTGTATCCAAAGTATTTAAATTTTGGCAGTAAATGACCCATAGAGGTGTTGATATGCCGCTGAACAAAACCAACCAACGAACAATACATATTTAAAGGAAAATGACCAACAATACAATTTATCTGTAGTTAAAGGCATACAATTGTGTTCAATATATATATATATATAATTATTTATTTAAAAATATGATTCCAAATCGCTACATAAGAGGTCTCATGTTTCAAAACAAGAGCCGAAAACTTCAATATAATCCTTTAAATTAAATTGAGTTGAAAGTAAAATGGGCTCCGTTCCATCTTCAAGCGAAGTTTACCTAACCAGTTCCTTCCTATTTTCTATATATTTTCACATATACATATATATATATATATATATATATATATATATATATATATATATATATATATAAAGCTTAAAATTGTGTTCAAAATATTTAGATTTTAGCATTAAATAACCCATAGAGGTATTGATATACTGCTAAACAAAAATAATCAAACAAGTTAACTGAAAGTAATCACTTAGTTCCTATAAGACACAAAAATTCTACAAGGAAAACATGAAAAAACTATTTGAAAACTTCAATATAATATCCTACCTTAAAAAAGTAGGTTTATACCAAAGCATCTAACACTTACAATAGATCATATGCAATTTATATACCTATAAATTATAAAATATATATTTCCCTGAAAGCATAAAATTACATACAAAGTATTTAGATTTGGGCATTATATAACCCATAAAGAAAGTGTCAGCATCGAACTTACAGTTTCATTTGTCCGATTCAACTGTAAAATGAAACCTTGCCGCCAATCAAGTACTGCACTTAAATTCATGAATCTAGTTACACTAGCGAAGCGTTCAATTGAATAATTACCATGAACGTTACGGTGGTGGGAAAGTGACTGAAGCCGAGATGTCAGATCCAGGTCAATAATATTGCTGATTCTTCTTTGGATTTTATGAAAGAACTTTAAATAAGTAGCAGAACCATCAGACCTTCTGTGACAACAATATTCTAAGCATAGGCAGATGGTAGATTTATAGATATGCAAGATAAATTCTGGAGAGAAAAAATTGCTTTGATAAACGAAACACATCCTCTGAGAAAAGTCTTTTTTTTCTCTTTATTCATACATATGTATATATAAATATTTTTGAAAGAAAAGATGTATGACAAAAGTTTTGTGACGTGTTTCATCCGTTAAGACTTCATCAAACTGGCTTTGTTTATGTTGTTATGACTACGCATGCGCATGAACGAAAGATGCTGGGATTTTTATAAATTTAAAAAGAATTTTTTTTATACAATGCAGCCAGTTTTTTCTAGATTCTTTTTATTTTCATTTCCATCATCTTTGCTATTAAATTTCCCACATTGTAATAAAATAACAGAAGATCTGCCAAGAATGGTGAAGCGTTATAAGAATCTGGACGTAAATTTACTGTGGGTGATCTAGAAATTAAAGCACTTTCTATATACTTTCATCTCAGTAAATTGCTTTTCTTTTAATTAAAGTATGTTTTTTTAAAAATATGTGTTTGGGTTTATCGTCTAATCAATGTCAATTAGTTTCCTTTTCTTAATGTCTTTTTATCATTTTTGGTATTAAGTGTCGCACATTGTGATAATAGAAGATCTGCCAAGAAAAGTGAAATGTTGCAAGAATCTGGACGTAACTTTACTGTGGATGATCTAGCAATTAAAGCACTTTCTATATACTTTCATCTCAGTAAATTGCTTTTCTTTTAATTAAAGTATATTTTTAAAAATATGTGTTTGAGTTTATAGTCTCGCCAATTTCATTTAATTTCCTTTTCATTATGTCTTTATTAATTTTGGTATTAAGTGTCGACATTGTGATAATAGAAGATCTGCCAAGAAAAGTGAAATGTTGTAAGAATCTGGACGTAAATTTACTATGGATGATCTAGGAATTAAAGCACTTTCTATATACTTTCATCTTAGTGAATTATTTTCTCTTTTTTTAAAATTAGAATGACTAGATTGTGTGGAAAATAATTTCCCAATATATTTTCCCCTCACATACAGTCTTTCTTTTATTCTAACCGGGGGGAAGCCAAAAAGCGCATACGCTCCCTGGCAAAACATGTCGTTCATAAATTTTCCACTTTATGTCACCATTTGTATATTTGTATACATAAATATTTTTAAAAAATAGTATGACAAATTGGAAAAAATGTCACAATGTGGGACAGTCAGGGACAAAGATGATGGAGAGGAAAGGAAAAAGAAAAAGAATATAGATGATTTGGACTAGATTGAAAAAATATTCTTTAAAATATATATATATATTCTTTCCAAAAAAAAAATATTCTTCCAAAAATATTCTTTAAAATATTTTGAAACTACCAGCATCTCTCGTTTTGTGCACATGTGTAAACACGGCAACATCAACGAAGCCCAGTCTGATGAAATCCTAACGGATAAAACATGCCACAACACCTTTTTTCCAATTTGTCATACTGTTTTTTTTTTTAAATACTGCTTGTTGATATATAAAATTATACACCGTTATATCTTATATAAATATATAAATGTCCACAAATATGCATTTAGTGTATTGGGACAGCAGATCATTATTCAAACATATATTGTTAAATATAGCAGACAATGAATGTCTATTATGTTTAATCATGAGCCGTTCTAAACTCCGTATTGCTTTAATTTTGGATGAAAATAAAGATAAAAATTGTTCAACATTTGGATATCTTTTTGTTATGGTCCGGTTCCTTGTACCACGGTGATAGTCCAAGGTAGAACCAATAAAGAAGAACTCAGACACGTATATGGAATAACACAGATATATTACAAACAGGAATATATACAGAGAAGTAGAAAGTGTTAGTACGAACAATCAGGTTTAGTAGTAATTGTCTGAACCCGACTCTGTTTCGGACTGCCTCTGACTCGACTGACTGACTCCAGACGGACTTCACTCCAAACTTCAGACTTAACAGTATTTATCACCCCCCCCCACACACATGTGGCACAAGGCCGGTTTAACGTTGGATCTCCGAGCCCGTGGGCTCGGCCAAAAATATGCCCTTTGAACCCGTATAAACGGGTTCAGGGTCGGTTTACCTCCCCGAAAGAGACTCCGCCCTTCGGCGTAGCCTTGTTCGGGTTCCTCCCCGCCCGAAGGCGCAGAGAGTTCAACCGATCAGCCGGTCGCCCGACTTCGGACTGAACTCCCTGCTTCCTCTTGAGGCGCAGTATTTATTACGTATGGAATAGTCCATTATATTATTATGGGTAAGGTCCCATAACACTTTTATTGAGCTGTTCCTTGATCTCAGCTTTCGGCTCATATGAGCCATCTTCAGAGTGGTTATACGGACATTTAAAAAAAGATATTCACCATCAAAGATGATATTCTGTTATGTTAACACAGAAGATTGCCATGTGATAATAATGGCTACAGAATAGCAGACGCGGGTCGTAAATTCATGATGCAGTTCTATGACGTCATACCACATGAGAGACCGTAATATTAACAACAGAACCATTTGTCTAGATGCAATGTAATATGTTGTGACTAGTTTGAAATGGAATTTTGTTGACTATGTATTTGTATATTTTTCTGTGAATATTTTTCTTTCACATTTCGTTTATCTAATTTCTCAAAAACATTTCCTTACAAGTTTTAGGAAATGCGAGACATCCTGTATTGCATCTTTCACTGTAAACATATCATTCCCTGAATAGCTAGCAGGGTTCTTCTTGCTACAAGCGTTCGACTTGCAGCTATCAGAAAATGTCTGCCAAGTAACCAGGCATTGACTTACACACCCCAGATTTAGAAGTCAGTTTCATTTTCGCTCTGCCCCCCTCTTGTGTGTGGGAGAGTGTAGGGATGTTAGGTGATTTACATCGATGTGTAGATTTTGTTGAAGGGCGACGTTTTTCATCAAGGTGTCCCTTCAAGGACAAACACTGCTCAGTCATTGATTTTATAGACCAAAATCAGATTTTATCAATATTTGACCTATATCTCATTTTTTTGTGGGATTGTTAATTTTATTTATATGGAATCTTTTTTTTTTAAGGATCATAATAGAATTTATACTTACATTTATTCAAGTAAATTTTATTCAAAAATTGATATAAACATTTATATTTATATTATATGGAAATATAATATTGTAATATAAAATTTATATTTTAATAGATTTTCGTTTGAATCCAACAGTACCACCCGAATCTGTAGAATGTCTTTTTTGTTTATTTTTCTCCAATCATGAGAGAGTTACTTACACACACACACCCACACACGTACACACACACACACACATATATATATAAGTATAGGATTAGTGTATATGGAATAAATTTAAATAACCAACAAATACTATTCTTAAAAGAGTGCTCAATACAGAGTAGAGCAAATATAATTATTTATTCGAAAATTATAACATAAATATGTTATAAAATCACTACAAAAATAGCCATTTTGTTTCAAAACTCCTCATGTCTTATCAAGTGATGGCGTTGAATGTAGAATAAAGGGCACAGACTGATATATATATATATGTGTGTGTATGTATGCGTAAGTAATTCTAAGCAAGTAAGTATATATATATATATATATATATATATATATATATATTACTTGCTTAGAATTACTTACACACACACATATATATATATCAGTCTGTTTATAAATCAGTGTTCATATCTATCTATCTTACCCTGTTCATATCGATCTATCAGTCTTTTCATATATATATATATATATATATATATATATATATATATATATATATATATATATAGTGTTAATATGAAAACTTGTTAGGGCCAAAATTGCTGTTTCTTCAGTGGTTCGCTCATAAGGAGGCATTTAAGACAAGCAGGCTTTGTGGTAGAGTATATATATATATATATATATCAGTCTATTTATAATTCAGTTTTCATATACTGTTCATATCTATCTACCTATCTCGACCTTTTTATATCTATCTATCTCAGTTTGTTCGTTATCTATCTATCTATCTATCTATCGCAGTCTGTTCAAATCTATCTATCTATCTATCTATCTATCTATCTATCTATCTATCTATCTGTCTATCTATCTATCTATCTCCGTCTCTTCATCTCTCTCTCGTTCTCTCTATGCTTACTGAGACCCTTGTCTACCCCACCCCCACCCTGACATGTTGATAATGCGTGCAACACAATCTTCTCTCTCTCTCTCTCTCTCTCTCTCTCTCTCTCTCTCTCTCTCAGTTGATATATTTGTGTATTTGCTTAATTTTCTGAATCAGACAAGCAATTAATGAAAATCTTTTTAATTAAGGAAAATCATTGCATATAATTAACATATCATTAAACCTTTCTTACATTTGCAATGCTTACGATCAAATCACGTTGAAACACCAGTTAAGCAACGTTGAGCCTTGTCAGTCCCTAGATGGGTAACCAGCAATATCAAGTGCTATAAGCTTGGATGTTCGTGTAATGAAATGGATAAGCGCTCGAAATTGGAAATCAAAGAACCAAGTTGGAATTCCAGTTGGGTTCATTATATTCCCTTACATGCAAAGGCATGAATCCACTTCTATTGCTGCATAAAGAGTTCCTCAGAAAAGAAAGCTACATAAAGTGAACAAAAAGAGAAATATTTTTCTTGTTTCCAAAGAGAAAATTAATGCATTTTTTTTGTATGATGCAAGTTTCTTTTCTTTCTTTTTTTTTCTTTCTTTTCTTTTTTTTTTTTTTTTTGTAATAGCGAAGATTAACCACACCAGCTGAAGACTCTTTCTTTGAGTGACTGAGTAATTCCGATTTTTGTCAGCACCGATACGGCAGTCTAAATTCTTCAGCGTCATTTTCTTTTGGGCCGAGGCGACCTAAATTCCTGTTGCAGTTTGGTGTCAACTCCCAAATCAATTCCACGCTTCCCCTTATATGACATACAGGTGTCGGTTACCCCGTCCGTTAGGGGGCGCTCTTTAAATCTATAAAAAATATTCTCTCTCTCTCTTTCTTTTTTAACTCTTGCTTTCAGATGTAGTCGTACGTGGGTAAAGTGTCCCCCACTGGAAGACGTTTATTTTTGTTGTGGCCTGTTAGGGGCCAGAAAGAAAGACATGGAAAGAAGAAAGTGGGTTGAACAAGTGTATTGAAGTAACAGAATATATATATACAAAATAAGAGTGTTATTAGTCAGCAGATAGAAGTGTCCGTTCGAACTGTTAGGTTACACTGCGTTCCGACTGCCGATATTTAACAGTCCCCTCCCACGAGGAATGTATGTGGCACAAGGCCGGGTTTAACGTGGGTTTCTCCGAGCCCATAGGCTCGGCCAAAAATATTCCCTTAGAACACGCATAAGCGGGTTCGGGATCTGTCTACCTCCCCGGACGAAACTTCGGCAAAGCTTCATCCGGGTTCCTCTCTGTCAAAGCAGAGAGTTCGACAGAAGTCGCACACAGTCAGAGACTGCGATCCGACTGCCCGCTTAGGAAGTCTCGCAGGTTATTATTTAAGAAGGAGGAAGAGTTCCTTCTAATATAGATAGGTTACCATAACAATTTTCATTGTCCTTTCTTAACCAAATTCTCTCACGCCCACACATAGACACACGTGTCTAATCACACACAAGCACACACTCATAGCCTGTTTCATTCCCTTCTTAAATTGTATACACGTGTAATTCCTTTTCTTAATAACATGCATTGTCGTTTGCTTTATATTCATTGATTTGTGTTTTGTTTTTTTAACCGGACTCACATGTGTCCGCCAATAATGTTTGCGGGATAAATGCTCCAGGGGCAATAAATATTTAATATAAAATATCAATATACATCAATATACATCATAAACAAAGAGGTGATACCTGCAACATAATGGTAATATTTTTATCCGAAAGAGATAAAAAGAATTACACAATTTTTGTTCTGTTTGTGCCAAATGATGTCCTATAACATGAAACAATGAAAATGAAACACGCTATTTTACAATTAAAAATACAATCCTGCATAAGAAGATCCTCAGGGAAAGAAAAAACAACAACATAAAGTGAAGAAAAAGAAAAATATTTCTCTCTCTGTAAACTTTCCAAAGAGAAAATTAGCACATTTTTTGTATGAAGAAAGTTTATGTTTTATTTTATTTATTTATTTATTTATTTATGTAGTTGCTGGTAATTTTTTTCTCAAAAATGCAGAATTGTGCAAGGAAGAGATTCATCGGGGTTCCGATCGCTACATTCGCGAGGTCAAGACCCCGGAGGGACGTACTCTGGGTTCGACTGATGAGGTGTGGGAGACGTTTCGGTGACATTTCGAGAGCCGCTTTACCAGAAGCCTGATCTCTTTGACTGACTTTTTCAGCTTTCGGGAAAGACTATCCTTAAGAGCCTTCATCTTGTTTGCCTTATCTAGTGCGAGCCCTTTACGAAACTCGGTGGTGAAGGACCTAATCCTATCCTTAAGCCTCTCCAACCACCTATCCCTGATGACTGCCCTCCTCCACTAGTTCCCGCGGCACTACGCTAGTAAGCTGGACTCGGAAGTTCCGCCTGTCCAGTAAAGACAGAATTTTCCTAGTAGCCAGCCATTCTAGGCCTACGCTCTAAAGCCACCCGGACACAGACTAACTAGTGGAACGTGGGACAATCTAATAGATCTATGTCGGCCCTTCTGACTAACATTCTATCCGGGTGGCTAGCTACCCGGGTGGCTAGCTACCCGGGTAGAAGGCCACTAACGTGCCCACGTCCGCATCTCCCTCTTTATATATCAACCAGACCAAACTCGCCGATCAGACCAACCAAACTACTCGACATCCCGCTAGCTCCCTGTCTAGCTTGGGGTTCAGAACGATATTCCAGTCCCCCATTAAGATTAGGCGCATTGAATCCACCAGGAACGGCCCCAACCGCAGAAAAAACGAGATACGCTCCTCTCGATTGTTGGGCGCATAAACCGCAACGACTCGGAACGAATCATTTTCCACGGCAATATCGGCCACGATCAACCGGCCCTCGGCATCGACATGAACAAGGTCCACCCTCGCGTCCAGAGCACCCTTCACCAACAAAGAAATCCCTCTGGCCTATCGGCCTCCCTATGCTGAATCGACGACAAAGTCGTTAGACAGCACACACGCATCGACGTTGCAAACAAAGTGGGTCTAGCTAGTTTCTTCTTGTTTGTAATTATCATTCATCTGATTTTTATGAAAGCTATTAATTTTATTGTTTATGTTTCTATTTTCGTCGTTGTTATTAGCTACCTTAGAGAGAAAAACCTAATTTCAGCCGGTAATTTGATCAGTTCCGCGGTTGAGCCAGGATCCGTCGCCCGGGACGCAGAGATGAAAAAAATAGTTAAATATTCTGATAGATTTTTTTCACTCCTGTGGCAGTGGAGACTTCATGGTTTATTGGCCGTCGTTCGATGGCGTTCCTTCGGAGGATTGGCACGATTGCGTCTCGATTAAGGGACGAGCCTCGTGAAACGGAATGGCTCTTGCAGTGTGTCTCACTGGCGATGGTTCGAGGTAATGCTTTCTCCATCATTGCGGCTGGCAGAGGATAGAAAAAAATTGTTTATTGTTATGTTGTTCTGGAATTGTCATCAGTGGTCAACTGTAATTGTTTTGTTTCAATAAATTTTAATTTGTTTTTATAGTACAAACTTCAAAGTCGTTTGCATTTTAAAACCGAATAAAATCATAAAGAAAGTATTCTATTGAAAGCCTAATATGGAAATCCAACAATTGATTTGGAAATCCGTTATTGATAAGCGTTTGTTTAATGTTACTTAATTCTTTAAAGAAAAGCGTGCGAGAGGATGAATTCTCGTGCGCTCTCTTGAGGAAATTTTTAATAACACTTATTTTTTAAGAGGGTATTTTCTAGAGAAATTAAGATGGCAAGAGTTTTTACTGGTGATTTTTTTTATAAACTGAAGGTGTAAAAATGTATTATTACTAAAATCAACAAGAACATCTAAGAATGGGAGTTTACTTTTTTCACTAAGTTCATATGTAAAATCGAGAACAGAATTTTGTTGAAATGTAGTTTTATACTCGTTGATAATACAAATCTAATAGTATCGTCTACAAGTAAAAAGGCTAAAAATAATGGAAGCCTTATTAATAAAAACAAAAAACAACACTCAATAATATCAACTATGAACATGGACACAGTATGTTGACTGTGTTTTGAAAATAAAACATTCTATAACGCTAAATACATACATGCAACAATCCATTTGCAGTTAAGAGTAAATATATTCAATTCTTGAAAATGGCTGAAAGCGCTCGGAAAAATAAAACAATTGGACAGTTTTTATATAATTTATAATTTGAAAAGAAAAAAATTATATGAGAAATTATACAAAAACTTAATCAAAGAGCCTTGTCTGTCATGTTAAATGAAGGTTGCATATATATATATATATATATATATGAAGAAAATATCTGGAAAAACAAAACAAAAATCCTTAAAATGCGATTATGTTGTTTTAATATGAATGAAATGTCGACGTCTGACGTTTCGGTTTAATAACCTTCTTCAGGACAATATTCATTAAAAATACAATTAACATAATCAGTATAACACGACGAAAACGATGGACATAAAAACAAGTCTTATCCAAAACAGATAAATGAAAATTTTAAATGATCAGCTTTCCGTTTGAGCGTGGTCACGTTGTCGTCAAATGGGCGACGCTTTCACAACGTATTCTTAAAAAGTTTATAAATTTGATTCCGATGGAAAGATTTTTCATATATACAGTTCGTTAGAAAATCTTTTCTGTTCTTGTAGGAATACGCGGAGACTAGTAGATTCCTGTATCTTCGGATAAGCATGCAGATCTCCATGTAATAAAATGAATTCAGGTTTGTATTTCCAGTGGACAGTATGATAAGCAAATATAAGGATTTTAAGGATTTTTGTTTTGTTTTTCCAGATATTTTCTTCATCCTGTCGGATTTATATCCATTTATATTTGCTTATCATATATATATATATATATATATATATATATATACCAAATATCTAAACAATACAAATCAATCAGGAAATTACAAATGTAACAAACCTCGTTGCTTAGTTTGCAAACACTTAATAATAGATAATGTATTTTCTGTACCCAACACCAACATCAAA